AGTCAATGATGGTGTAAATATGTAGAAAATTTTCCTCACTATAAATACAAAGCACTCACAACTGCAAACTTCTAGTCTCTGTCTGCTGTTTCATGAGTCGTACCTATCTTCTGAGAACTAGCCTATTGACCTTATGTGTTATGATCCATTTGCATTAATTTAAAATATAGTATACTGTTTTTTACAGATATGCTACATATAACTAACTGGCCTGCATAAGATTAGGAGAAGAAAAAAGAAAAAAAAATGATTTTAAGACAGGATTTTTTATTTTTTTTTTAAATAGAAATTTTATAACTTTTGGGACAATATGGTCTGATAAAGAGTATATTTATATATATGTTTAAGCCAGAATGATTTGACATTTAAATATGATTTCCCTACGACTTTAACTGCATTTATAATGAAAAAAAAGTCTCAAATGTTATAATCTGTGGTTTTGCTGCTTTTCCTGTCTGACTTTTATCAAAGGTTTTTCTGATTCTCTTTTAGTTCAAACTTCCTGCATCAAACCTGATGTCAGTTTTCTCTCTCTGAAAGGAAACTGCTGCTAAATAAAGCAGGTAGAGAAGCTGGATCCCTTCATTATGTTTTAGAGGACACGCGTGTCCATCTGACGCCCGCAGCTCCAAACACATTATTGAAGGTCGCCCCGTCGCCTCCTACACACTCCTCACATCTCTGCTGCGTGTTTGTTTCCTCCTCATCCTCCCACGCCGGCAGAGCTCGATGACGGTGATTGAAACCGCAGCTGCTCTCCCTTCACCTCATCGCAGGTGACAAAGCAGAAAACAGACAGAGCCACACTTACTCTGAGATGTGGACGAAGATGTCGCTGCCTCCGTCTGATGGCGTGATGAAACCGTGGCCTTTGGAGCGGGAGAAACATTTACACACGCCAGAATACACGGGGCCCTCAGAGGCGCGGGCAGAGCTGGAGAAGAGAGAGGATGAAGGGAAAACGGCTGAAACCGACACAGCTGACGTCCTTCTTTATGGGTTTAATCTAAATCTGCATGATTTAACAAACCTTCCACCATAAAGTCAAAGCTGTGAACCATCCGGTGTGTGTGTGTGTGTGTTCTTACGCTGAGAAGGTCCTGTTCCTGCGTGTGGGGAGGGGGCTGGGGATGAGGAAGTCTCTCATCGGGGAAGGGGAACGCTCTCTAAGCTTGTTGGTAGGAAGATGCAGAGCCTCTGAAAGCAGAGCAGGCAGGTAGAGCCTTAATAAGGAGCTGCAGGTTTAGCATGACTCAGCACATTTTCATCCTTCAACCATGTAAACGCCATGAAGAAACGTTAGNATGAGGAAGTCTCTCATCGGGGAAGGGGAACGCTCTCTAAGCTTGTTGGTAGGAAGATGCAGAGCCTCTGAAAGCAGAGCAGGCAGGTAGAGCCTTAATAAGGAGCTGCAGGTTTAGCATGACTCAGCACATTTTCATCCTTCAACCATGTAAACGCCATGAAGAAACGTTAGAAGAGGAGGGTAGTAACTAGTTACATTAAATCAGTAACTTAAGTGACTTTTTGACAAAAATCGACTTTAGAAGTAGTTTTAAAGCATCATTATTTTTACTTTTCCTCTAGTAAAATGTTTGGCTGCTCCATCCATCATGACTAATGCTACGTTCAGACCTAAAGCAGCAGAAGCAGCTAGTTTACATGCTAAGTCAAAGGTTGACGCGTTTGGAGCAGCGGGTCGTGAGCTTCTGAGCATCTGATGCTCGCGATGCACTTCAGAAGCAGCAGCAGCTGGAGCTGAAAAATGAAACTTTTGCTGCTGGACGCGCCTTGTCAACCAATCAGAAGCTGATCTGGGAGCAGGCAGGGAGACGGACACATCACTGCTGATGTAGAGCGCTATCATCACTCCTCTGAAACAGTTTAACGTTTATTAAAGTACCTACCGGTAAAATATGTTCCATTTTATTATCCTGGTGCCTGCAGTCTGGATTACGTACGTGAAAAACGCTAACATCCACTTCCAGCCACTGTGAACAGTAGCAGCAAACAGCGAAGAGGCGACCGGGCAAGAGGCTGATGTTGAAAGGGATTCCCAGTGACAGAGCAGCGCCGGTGTACGGAGGTCTGAGCGGCTCCAACAGAAATAATATTTGAAGGCAGGATGGTAACCTGGATGAACTGACTGCACTCAACATGTTTTCAGTTGAACTATCTCACTTCAAAATAGATTAAAACTACTTTTTACCCACTGATTACAGCAAATATAGCTGCCAGTTACAGGCAAAGAAAGGATAGAGTAGCTTTATTTAAGCAAAGCGCATCAGACCCA